TGTCCTCAAAAGAAGAAAATTCTTGAATTTTTGGATTTTCAGAATGTGTTCAATCAGAAAAAGCATATTTGAAAACTCTAGAAATTTTTTTGTAGTCTGAAATTTATCCATCCGCCTGTATTACCACGGTTTCGAAGTGACTGGTTCCGAAACGACTGGTTTCGAAGTGTCGCGGTTTAAAGACTTAGGCCCCCCTCCCACCCAAAGTACTATAATGTAAAAAAAATTGCCATTTTCCAGACATCATGTATTGCTTGGCTGTGGTGACAAGTCTATCCGCGCCTATCGAACGATTTGTGGCTCTCACATGTTCTGCCTTCGCCTCGACGCCCTCCCAGTTATCATTGGTGTTAAGGAGAATGCCGCGTTTGCATTGACAGAGTCTGCTCATCTGAACACGTGGAATTTGAAATCGGGAAAAGCGATCGTCGCTCGACAGCCACTTTTCGACTGCGTTGAAGCCACCGCCGATAATTCGCTGATCAGTGTGGACGTATCGGAATCGGGAGTTCCATTGATAGTATTCTCAAATGGATCCATTTTCACTTATAATGTATCCCTGTCGTGCTGGATTCAAGCGATTACTACGAATGTTTTGGGACGGCTAACCTCTGCGATATCAGATGCTCAATTGGAAAGAAACGATGGGACGACTGCGGGGCCATTGGTTCGTCTTTTGAAACGAATGAGGAAGCAGACGACGGCGCCTGGAGTTCAACCACAAGTTGTGAAGGCTATCAAGGAATCCCAATTGGAACAGTTACTCCATTGTGCTGAGCAATTGGGGAATCCACATGACTATCAGACGATTCTAATGCTCTATGTGGAGACGTTATGCGAAGGAGGTAGGTCTTACGCAGTGTGTCTTTTCGAAAAAAATTCCTCGAAAAGCATTTTTTAGAGTTTTCCAGGCCACCACCTTTTTTGTTAGAAACGGCCTAACATGACCCATTTTGACATGGTGGCCTAACTTTCGAGTTTTTTAGGCCACCGTGAAGAAATGCCCTGATGTTCATCTGATGTTTTCTAGGCCATGGTGGCCTAGAAAACCCAACATGCAAAAGTTAGGCCACCATGTCAAAATGGCCTAGGAACACACTAGGGTCATGTTAGGCCATTTCTAGGCCAAAAATAGGTGATGGCCTAGAAAACCCAACTTGCAAAAGTTAGGTCACCATGTCAAAATGAAGTCATTTCGAAAAACTCCTCGAAAATGTTTTCGACACTTTTCGAGGAATTCCTTAAAATTCTTTTAAAGGAGGACTCCGACCAAAAATTTTTATTGCATTATAATGTTCAAAAAGTTGTCTATTTTCCCAATATATAGCGAAAAAATTCGAAAAAAATCCGAAATTCCCGAAAAATGCCGTTAAAAGCGAAAAAAAATCAAAAAAAAGTTGCTAGGAGGGACGAGGATTCGAATTCCCGCGCAGTGAGAAACATAAGCCACGGAGCCTGATAGCCGTTTTTTCAAGTGGCCGACAGTGGTTT